CATCAATCTTCAAGTGAGTTTTGTTTGCGGCATGTAATTACTGTGCAAAGATTTTGATGCTGTACGTACAATCTGAGCCAGGAAAAATTTTGATTATGAGAGTGAGGGACATTTGTCCCTCAGTTATTCTATTCTCCAGGTCTAAAATATTTTATTCTTTTTGAGATCTCGTATAGGTATTGTAGCATTAGTTTGGAAGAGTTTTTGAAACTTCTGGTACAGCTTCGCAATTTTTTAACTTTATCCTTAAACGTTATAGGAAGCATATCTTCGAATGCATGATACATCCCCTACAGACGACTTAGTGGTCCAAGGCTATGAACACATTCCTGAGTACAAGGAATTGACAAAACGGTAAGTTGTTGTTTGAAATGAGTTCCGTTTTGAAAGTGTTTTCCACTCAGAATATTGGCATTTGTAGTTTGTGTTGTCAAACGATTGTGCAGTGGCTGAGTTGGTTCCTGGGTAGAAGTGATTCAAAAGGTGTGGTTCACTAGGACAGAAAGCGACTTTTTCGCGTTTCGCAGCGCGAAACATTTTCCGCTGCGGGAACCTCAGGTCCACCGCTGATCATCAGTGGACCCGAGGTTGCAGCGAATCATCAGTGGACCCGAGATTCCCGCAACGAACAATGTTTCGCGCTGCGAAACGCGAAAAAGTCGCTTTCTGTCCTGGTGAACCACACCCTGATTCAACTCATTCACATCTGGGGCGGTATTCAATCCTTCCCCTAGGGGTTGGGGGACGAAAATCCCTTTAAATTTTCTCTGTCTTCCCAACTGGGATTGTCCTGATAAAGGGCCTACATTTAATGTATGTATGTAGGTAAAGTAAGCATGCATTGAAAATGAAGAAACTACATCGTTAAAAACAAATAAATTTAAAGGGATTTCCGTCCCCCAACCCCTGGGGGAAGGATTGAATACCGCCCCTGTTTGACTTACCCTCCTAATATTCGAAGCAGGCTATGCGCTCCTGAAATCTTTCAAGAGAAACCATAGACAGGAATGTTCCTTTGCTAACGAAGAAATTGCACAAAAGTTGGCATGCGAAGAAAAATTACGTTTTATTGTGTTGCGTTACGGTATTCGTATGAGACGGTTTTCTTTTCAGCGCCATTGAATTGCGACGTGTTTTGTCTCGGGTGCCTGAAGAAATGGCAGATCGTCATCAGTTTCTTGAGACTATCAAGCTTATTGCGTCATCGATCAAGAAATTGTTGGAAGCAATCAATGCTGTTCATCAGATAGTACCTCAGTCAGCACAGCAAGGTTAGCTTCTCTCCACCACTTCCACTTCCGTTGCTTTTGGTAACGTGTGATGAACAACGAATTTCCAACATATTTGATAATTTCCAATGCTTTTTTTGTTTTCAGCTAATTTTATACTATCACATGTATTGAAATTTGTATACTCTCGAAGAAAGGGAGATGGTGTTTATAATTGAGAATTCCTTTCAAACTAGGCGACATTACTCCCCACTACCACCCAACAGCATTGCTGTTGGTGGAACCCCTGACAGCTTCAAGAATCAATTCAAGAACTTCAATTGAGTATTTTCGTGAATACCAACAATAAATCTACCTAATCCCACACACTACTTCTATTTCTTTGGCACAAACACTACTTCTATTTTTTTACAAGTCATTCGGAACGGCGTGAACAATTATCCTCAAAGCGTTTTGGCAACCCTGGTGATTTTCTCTGACTTAGCGGAAGAAGCGAAGTTTCAATAGCAAAAACACTCAAAGAAAAGAAAAAAAAAAACAAATGGCC